CGCCCATGTGAAAGAGCCCCTATTTTGCCAACTGTCTCCCCATTACTTTGCTACAGCTCTCTGATAGACCTGAATTTCTAGGTATAGTGTGCACAGTGTCCTCTCACAATGGTACTTGGTACATTGTCTCCTCTTGTCAGTAGTTTGTACATGGTCACCTATTGTCAGTACTTGGTACATGGTCACCTATCACCATTGTTCGGTACATGGTCACTAGAGATGAGCGAATCGAAGTAGGCGAAGTGGAATTCGTTTCGAATATTAGGAAAATTTCGATTCCGTCGAATCCGAAAATAAGCAGACTTCGGATGCGCGCGAATCGAAATTTTTCCTAAAATGGCGGCGACATGTGCGGCGACGGAGCGGGGATGTCTGGGAAGGCGCGCAGACAAGGCGCGCTGACCCATAATGCATTCATTCATGACATGTGATCGCATTAGCCAATCAGCAGCAGCCAGCCAGCACAGTGTAATGGTCGAGCTATAAATGGCGGCCATTTTAGAATTCTCCATTTGCCTCCAGTCATTCAACAGAGGCAGACCTGGCTGTATTCAGGGAGAGAGTTAGGGACAGAGAAACGTTACTTAGGGACACAGAAACGTTAGTTAGGGCCACAGAATCGTTACTTAGGGCCACAGAAACGTTACTTATAGGGCCACAGAAACGTTACTTAGGGCCACAGAATCGTTAGTTAGGGCCACAGAAACGTTACTTAGGGACACAGAATTGTTACTCAGGGACAGACAGAATTGTTACTGAGGGATACAGAATTGTTACTGAGGGCCACAGAATCGTTACTTAGGGCCACAGAAACGTTACTTAGGGCCACAGAATTGTTACTTAGGGACAGACACAGAATTGTTACTGAGGGACACAGATTTGTTACTGAGGGCCACAGAATCGTTACTTAGGGCCACAGAAACGTTGTTACTTAGGGACAGACACAGAATTGTTACTGAGGGACACAGAATTGTTACTGAGGGCCGTTACTTACACAGAATCGTTACTTAGGGCCACAGAAACGTTACTTAGGGCCACAGAATTGTTACTTAGGGACAGACACAGAATTGTTACTGAGGGACACAGAATTGTTACTGAGGGCCACAGAACGTTACTTAGGGCCACAGAAACGTTACTTAGGGCCACACAGAATTGTTTACTTAGGGACAGACACAGAATTGTTACTGAGGGACACAGAATTGTTACTGAGGGGCACAGAAACGTTACTTAGGGCCACAGAATCGTTACTTAGGGCCACAGAATCGTTACTTAGGGCCACAGAAACGTTACTTAGGGCCACAGAAACAGTTATTGAGGGACCACAGAATTGTTACTGAGGGCCACAGACACAGAATTGTTACTGAGGGCCACAGAATTGTTACTGAGGGCCACAGAATTGTTACTTAGGGCCACAGAATTGTTACTTAGGGCCACAGAATTGTTACTTAGGGCCACAGAATTGTTACTTAGGGCCAGAAACACAGAATTGTTACTTAGGGACAGACACAGAATTGTTACTGAGGGACACAGAATTGTTACTTAGGGCCACAGAAACGTTACTTAGGGCCACAGAAACGTTACTTAGGGCCACAGAATTGTTACTTAGGGCCACAGAATTGTTACTTAGGGAACACAGAATTGTTACTGAGGGACACAGAATTGTTACTGAGGGCCACAGAAACGTTACTTAGGGCCACAGAAACGTTACTTAGGGCCACAGAATTGTTACTTAGGGACAGACACAGAATTGTTACTGAGGGACACAGAATTTGTTACTTAGGGCCACAGAAACGTTACTTAGGGCCACAGAAACGTTACTTAGGGCCACAGAATTGTTACTTAGGGCCACAGAATTGTTACTTAGGGACACAGAAATTGTTACTTAGGGCCACAGAATTGTTACTTAGGGCCACAGAATTGTTACTGAGGGCCACAGAATTGTTACTTAGGGACCACAGAATTGTTACTTAGGGCCACAGAAACGTTACTTAGGGCCACAGAATTGTTACTTAGGGCCACAGAAACGTTACTGAGGGCCACAGAATTGTTACTGAGGGCCACAGAAACGTTACTTAGGGCCACAGAATTGTTACTTAGGGACACAGAAACGTGTTACTTAGGGCCACAGAATTGTTACTTAGGGCCACAGAAACGTTACTTAGGGCCACAGAATTGTTACTTAGGGCCACAGAACGTTACTTAGGGCCACAGAAACGTTACTTAGGGACCACAGAATTGTTACTTAGGGCAGACACAGAATTGTTACTGAGGGACACAGAATTGTTACTGAGGGACACAGAAACGTGTTACTTAGGGACACAGAAACGTTACTTAGGGCCACAGAAACGTTACTTAGGGCCACAGAATTGTTACTTAGGGCCACAGAATTGTTACTTAGGGACACAGAATTGTTACTGAGGGCCACAGAATTGTTACTGAGGGACACAGAATTGTTACTTAGGGCCACAGAAACGTTACTTAGGGCCACAGAATTGTTACTTAGGGCCACAGAATTGTTACTTAGGGACACAGAATTGTTACTGAGGGCCACAGAATTGTTACTGAGGGCCACAGAACCGTTACTTAGGGCCACAGAAACGTTTACTTAGGGACCACAGAATTGTTACTTAGGGCCACAGAAACAGAATTACTTAGGGCCACAGAATTTACTTAGGGCCACAGAATTGTTACTTAGGGACACAGAAAACGTTACTTAGGGCCACAGAATTGTTACTTAGGGCCACAGAATTGTTACTTAGGGACACAGAATTGTTACTTGAGGGACACAGAATTGTTACTGAGGGACACAGAATTGTTACTTAGGGACACAGAATTGTTACTCAGGGACACAGAATTGTTACTTAGGGACAGACACAGAATTGTTACTCAGGGACACAGAATCGTTTACTTAAAGAGTATGTCAGACAACATGCAGAGGAGTGGCAGAGGAGGCAATGTTTTAGGAGCGAGCAGACGTGGCAGCAGAGGAAGGGGTCGAGGCAGCACTATTCGCAGCCAGAGGCCAGTGCTCCCGGTGTCATCCAGTACAGTGAGGAAGAGCTAACAGAGGGCGGTCAGGAACGGGGGGAGACATCCGCCTCTTCAGCAGCCAGGCGAAGAAGTAGTGGCGAGGAGAGTGGCTCGGTAGCCGGTCTAGAGACAGGTCTGTCTCCTGACCCACACGCAGCCGAGGGGGCTAGTAGTGAGGCTGGGAGACCCTAATTGATGATGATGAGGCTGAATCGCACTTGGCAGCCTCGTCGTCATCAGGCTATTGCTTCCGCATCATCAGGAGAAGAGGGTGGCAGCTTGGCAGCGAGCAAAACAGTCGGTGGGTTGTCTCCATCGCCACAGAATTGCCATGTGCCACTTTCAGGTCTCCTCACACACTGCTGGTGTGTTCCATTTTTTGTCATAGGGTGCTGGCAGATTACGGGCCTCCCATAGCTGCTGCCAGGCCCCTAATCTGCCATGGGCCCCTGTACGCCTCCTCATGCTGCTGCCAGGTCCACAGTGTCTCATGCCATGTGCCACTTTCAGGTCTCCTCACACTGCTGGTGTGTTCAATTTTTTGTCATAGGGTGCTGGCAGATTACGGGCCTCCCATAGCTGCTGCCAGGCCCCTAATCTGCCATGGGCCCTATACCGCCTCTCCTCATGCTGCTGCGAAGTCCAGAGTCTCTCATGGGTCCCTGTACGGCCTCCCATTGCTGCTGTCTCCATCGCCACACTCTGCCATGTGCCACTTTCAGGTCTCCTCACACACTGCTGGTGTGTTCAATTTTTTGACATAGGGTGCTGGCAGATTACGGGCCTCCCATAGCTGCTGCCAGGCCCCTAATCTGCCATGGGCCCCTATACCGCCTCCTCATGCTGCTGCCAGGTCCAAAGTCTCTCATGGGTCCCTGTACGGCCTCCCATTGCTGCTGTCTCCATCGCCACACTCTGCCATGTGCCACTTTCAGGTCTCCTCACACACTGCTGGTGTGTTCCATTTTTTGACATAGGGTGCTGGCAGATTACGGGCCTCCCATAGCTGCTGCCAGGCCCAGAAATAATCTGCCATGGGCCCCTATACCGCCTCCTCATGCTGCTGCCAGGTCCAGAGTGTCTCATGGGTCCCTGTACGGCCTCCCATTGCTGCTGTCTCCATCGCCACACTCTGCCATGTGCCACTTTCAGGTCTCCTCACACACTGCTGGTGTGTTCCATTTTTTGACATAGGGTGCTGGCAGATTACGGGCCTCCCATAGCTGCTGCCAGGCCCCTAATCTGCCATGGGCCCTATACCGCCTCCTCATGCTGCTGCCAGGTCCAGAGTGTCTCATGGGTCCCTGTACGGCCTCCATTGCTGCTGTCTCCATCGCCACACTCTGCCATGTGCCACTTTCAGGTCTCCTCACACACTGCTGGTGTGTTCCATTTTTTGTCATAGGGTGCTGGCAGATTACGGGCCTCCCATAGCTGCTGCCAGGCCCCTAATCTGCCATGGGCCCCTGTACCGCCTCCTCATGCTGCTGCCAGGTCCATGGGGTCCCTGTACGGCCTCCAGTGTGTCATGCCATGTGCCACTTTCAGGGTCTCCTCACACACTGCTGGTGTGTTCCATTTTTTGTCATAGGGTGCTGGCAGATTACGGGCCTCCCATTGCTGCTGCCAGGCCCCTAATCTGCCATGGGCCCCTATACCGCCTCCTCATGCTGCTGCCAGGTCCAGAGTCTCTCATGGGTCCCTGTAGGCGGCCTCCCATTGCTGCTGTCTCCATCGCCACACTCTGCCATGTGCCACTTTCAGGTCTCCTCACACACTGCTGGTGTGTTCCATTTTTTGTCATAGGGTGCTGGCAGATTACGGGTGCTGGCAGATTAGGGTACCGCCTCCTCATAGCTGCTGCCAGGCCCCTAATCTGCCACTTTCCATGCTGGTGTGTTCCCTTTTTTGTACATAGGGTGCCTCCGGGCCTCATGCTGCTGCCAGGTCTGCCATGGGCAGTACTGGCCTCATGCTGCTGCCAGGTCCACAGTGTCTCATGGGTCCCTGTACGGCCTCCCATTGCTGCTGTCTCCATCGCGACACTCTGCCATGTGCCACTTTCAGGTCTCCTCACACACTGCTGGTGTGTTCCATTTTTTTGTCATAGGGTGCTGGCAGATTACGGGCCTCCCATAGCCTAATCTGCCATGGGCCCCTGTACCCCTCTCTCATGCTGCTGCCAGGTCCAGAGTCTCTCATGGGTCCCTGTACGGCCTCCCATTGCTGCTGTCTCCACCGCCACACTCTGCCATGGGCCACTTTCATGTCTCCTCACACTGCTGGTGTGTTCCATTTTTTGTCATAGGGTGCTGGCAGATTACGGGCCTCCCATTGCTGCTGCCAGAATCTGCCATGGGCCCCTGTACCGCCTCTTCATGCTGCTGCCAGGTCCAGAGTGTGTCATGGGTCCCTGTACGGCCTCCCATTGCTGCTGCCAGGAGGCAGCAGGGTCGCAGCAGTGTCAGTGGAGGCAAACGGCCACGGAGTAGAGCACCAGCTCCACTGCCTACCACCACGGCCAGTAGTGGTGCCGGTGTGCACGGAGGAAGTAGCAGTCAGCCAGTGAGGAGTAGCGGGGGCAAAGTTTCCTACTCGGCGGTGTGGGCAATTTTTCGTCAAGCCGCCCGAGGAAGTAAACGTAGCCGTATGTCGACTATGTGGCCAGAAAGTCAAGCGTGGCCAGGGGGCCCATGTTGGGGGACTACAGCGTTGCGTCAGCATATGCAGCGTCGCCATTTGGTGGCCATGGGAAAACCGTGATAAAGATACGGCGGTTCTCCTGCCCACCCAGGGTGTTCCATTTTTTGTCATAGGGTGCTGGCAGATTACGGGCCTCCCATTGCTGCTGCCAGGCCCCTAATCTGCCATGGGCCCCTTACCACCTCCTCATGCTGCTGCCAGGTCCACAGTGTCTCATGGGTCCCTGAACCGCCTCCCATTGCTGCTGTCTCCATCGCCACACTCTGCCATGTGCCACTTTCAGGTCTCCTCACACACTGCTGGTGTGTTCCATTTTTTGTCATAGGGTGCTGGCAGATTACGGGCCTCCCATTGCTGCTGCCAGGCCCGTAATCTGCCATGGGCCCCAGTACCGCCTCCTCATGCTGCTGCCAGGTCCACAGTCTCTCATGGGTCCCTGTACGGCCTCCCATTGCTGCTGTCTCCATTGCCACACTCTGCCATGTGCCACTTTCAGGTCTCCTCACACTGCTGGTGTGTTCCATTTTTTGTCATAGGGTGCTGGCAGATTACGGGCCTCCCATAGCTGCTGCCAGGCCCCTTATCTGCCATGGGCCCCTGTACCACGCCTCCTCATGCTGCTGCCAGGTCCAGAGTCTCTCATGGGTCCCTGTACGGCCTCCCATTGCTGCTGTCTCCATCGCCACACTCTGCCATTTGCCACTTTCAGGTCTCCTCACACACTGCTGGTGTGTTCCATTTTTTGTCATAGGGTGCTGGCAGATTACGGGCCTCCCATTGCTGCTGCCAGGCCCGTAATCTGCCATGGGCCCCCCGTTCCGACTCCTCATGCTGCTGCCAGGCCCGTAATCTGTCATGGGCCCCTGTTGTCGCTTGTTGGCATATTCCGCTCGTTCAGATGCTCCTTCTCCTGCTACTCCTCTTCACGGATTCCGTCAGCAGTCTTTCTTGGAATCCGTTTCCAAGAGACAACAGTTTGCGAGCACGCACCCGACGGTGCAGAAGCTGAACGTCCCCCTGTCCAAGTTGCTGCTGCCAGGCTCGTAATCTGTTATGGGCCCCTGTACCGCCTCCTCATGCTGCTGCCAGGTCCAGAGTCTCTCATGGGTCCCTGTACGGCCTCCCATTGCTGCTGTCTCCATCGCCACACTCTGCCATGTGCCACTTTCAGGTCTCCTCACACTGCTGGTGGTTTCCATTTTTGTCATAGGGTGCTGTATGGCCTCCCATTGCTGCTGCCTCCCACCGCCACACTGTGGCTCCACACTCTGGTTTTGGCCCCGTGACTGCCCAAATGAGTGAAGTGTGCGGTGATTCTAAGATCGACGGCACTCATCTGCATGTCATACTGACTGTCAGTATTATTTCTCTTCCCCAGCAGACTCCAAGGGCATTTAAATTAAAGGTACAGTGTTCTGCACTAATATAAAGGCTCTCTGAAGCCTAGAAACACCCTTTTATAAGTTAAATTCGCAGCGAATATATTCGACTCGAATCGAAATTTTTCCACGAATTCGCCGAATCAGTCGAATCGAATTTTTGAATACTTCGCTCATCTCTAATGATGAATGTTATACTGTAGAAAAACAGACAAAGAGAATATTTACAAATTCCACAGAGATACATAATACAGGGATGTCCAAACATATAACAGTCTATAAATTGAAACTACACTATATATATACAGTTGTGTTCAAAATAATAGCAGTGTATTGAAAAAAGTGAATAAAGCTCAAAATCCTTCTAATAGCTTTTATTTCCATACACACAAATGCATTGGGAACACTACACATTCTATTCCAAATCAAAACATGAAGAAAAATATATCAAATTTGTGTTGTTCCTCTAAAACAGTTGAAGAAAAGTGAATATTAGACTGTTCAAAAAAATAGCAGTGTTTGTATTCTTCTTTACAAACTCAAACATTCACTATATAAACTGAAAAATGTTTGAAGATTTTGCTTTCCTCTGAATCACTTAATGAATATTTAGTTGTATAAGCACTGTTTCTGAGAACTGCTGTACATCTGTGTTGCATGGAGTCAACCAACTTCTGGCACCTGTGAACATGTATTCCAGCCCAGGATGATTGGACTACATTCCACAGTTCTTCTCTATTTCTTGGTTTTGCCTCAGAAACTGCATTTTTGATGTCACCTCACAAGTTTTCTATTGGATTAAGATCCGGAGATTGGACTGGCCACTCCATAACGTCAATCTTGTTGGTCTGGAACCAAGATGTTGCATGTTTACTGGTGTGTTTGGGGTCGTTGTCTTGTTGGAACACCCATTTCAAGGGCATTTCCTCTTCAGCATTAGGCAGCATGACCTCTTCAAGTATTCTGATGTATTCAAACTGATCCATGATCCCTGGTATGCGATAAATAGGCCCAACACCATAGTATGAGAAACATTCCCATATCATGATGCTTGCGCAACCATGCTTCACTGTCTTCACAGTGTATTGTGGCTTGAATTCAGTGTTTGGGGGTCGTCTGACAAACTGTCTCCAGCCACTAGACCCAAAAAGAACAATCTTACTTTCATCAGTCCACAAAATGTTGCGCCATTTCTCTTTAGGCCAGTCAATGTGCTCTTTGGCAAATTGTAACCTCTTCCGCACATGTCTTTTTTTCAACAGTGGGACTTTGCGGGGGCTTCTTGCAGACAGCTTGGCTTCACATAGGCGTCTTCTAATTGTAACAGTACTCACAGGTAACTTTAGACCTTCTTTGATCTTCCTGGAGCCGATTGTTGGCTGAGTCCTTGCCATTTTGATTATTCTTCTATCCATTCGAATGGTAGTTTTTTGCTTTCTTCCACGTCTTTCAGGTTTTGGTTGCCATTTTAAAGCATTTGTGATCATTTTAGCTGAGCAGCCTATCATTTTCTGCACTTCTTTTTATGTTTTCCCCTCTCCAATCAACTTTTTATTCAAGGTACGCTGTTCTTCTGAACAATGTCTGGAATGACCCATTTTCTTCAGAATTTCAGAGAGAAATGCACTGTTACCAGCATGTACAACATTTGCTGCCTTCCTTCCTTAAATAAGGGCAATAATTGCCACCTGTTTTTCAAAGAATGAATGACCTCACTAATAGAACGCCACACTGCTATTATTTTTGAACATGCCCCTTTTCAATTAGTGATTCAATTACACAGAATCAACAGCATGCATGTCATGACTGTTGGGTCTGTTGGATTTCTATTACTCTACTACACCTGCTAGTAAATTATTTGCTATGTAGAAATATAATTTCTACCAAAAGCAGTAATTGATCAGGTTAGTGATGTCTGACTGCTATTATTTTGAACAAAATTGTACATACTGTACATGTCCACAACAGTAGAGGAAAAAAACAAAGTGCTTTGCAATTGTTGCAAGCTATGCTATGCCTTACAAAGTTCCCTCCCAATTGTGAAGAAATATGGCCTGGTATGTTTCAGGAAGAGGGGCTACTCACTCACTGCCTTCCCTTTCCTGACCATCCAGGCTGCAAGCCCGATAAGGGTCTGGTATAAATTTTAAGTTGAACCAAACACAGTTTTTAAAGGACTACATTGCACTGTTCCATAACTTCAAACACAACTTTAAGGCATTTCTGAAGCATATTATTTAAAGGATTTGTGCATTTACAATGTTGACCTTTAGGTCACATTAAAGGACCCTTTTCACTTAATGGAATTCTCTTTTAAAAGCTTTTTGCATTAGCACGTGTCCCCAATGCCCTTGTAAAGTTACCATTCAACTTTTTAACAAAGCTTGCAAATTAGCCTTGAAAAAGGCCAGGATAAATAGCAAGATTTGGCCCCCACAAACTTTAACAGGTTTTGGTGCTTTGTCCTTTGTCTAGGATTTGTGGACTTCCTGCTGGGTTCACCAACCTCCAACCTCTTAAGGACAACATTTTTACACAAGAGGATGTAGAGGAATCTCTCCAATACAGATTGTGACTCAAACCTTAACAGGAGTCCTAATGCTTCCCCGCTCTCCCCAAAACAAAACAAAAAATGGCTATAAATACACTTTAAATATATTCTTTTGCAATTTATATAAAATTAGTGTGCTCACTTTTGAGTCACATAGTTACATATTTACATAGTTAGTCTGGCTGAAAAAAGACAAAAGTCCATCCAGTTCAACCATTAAAAAAAAAAAAAGTTATCCTATACCCACAGTTGATCCAGAGGAATGCAAAAAAAGCCCAGCAAAGCATGATTCAATTTGCTCCTACAGGGAAAAAAATTCCTTCCTGATCCCCTGAGAGGCAATCGGATATTCCCTGGATCAACTTTACGTATAAATGTTAGTATCCAGTTATATTCTGTGTATCTAAGAAACAATCCAGGCCTTTTTTAAAGCAATCCACTGAGCTGGCCAGAACCAACTCTTGAGGGAGTCTATTCAACATTTTCACAGCTCTCACTGTGAAGAAACCTTTCACTGTTTGGAGATTAAATTTCTTTTCCTCCAGACATAAAGAGTGCCCCCTTGTCCTCTGTGATGACCTCAGGGTGAATAGCTCTACACAGAGTTAACTATATGGACCACTGATGTATTTATACATGTTGATCATATCTCCCCTTAATCTCCTCTTCTCAAGAGAGAATAAATTCAGTTCCTCTAATCTTTCCTCATAGCTGATCTCCTCCATGCCTCTTATCAGTTTGGTTGCCCTTCTCTGTACTTTCTCCAGTTCCCCAATGTTCTTTTTGTGAACTGGTGCCCAAAACTGAACTGCATATTCCAGATGAAGTGTTACTAATGATTTGTACAGGGGTAATATGATATCATTCTCTCGGGAGTCTATACCTCTTTTAATACAAGAGAGTATTTTGCTCGCTTTAGAAACTGCAGCTTGGCATTGCATGCCATTATTAAGCTTGTGATCTACCAGAGCCCCCAGATCCTTCTCGAACATTAGTCTGCACAGTAAAGCCCTGCATTTTGCAGGTTAGTATGAACCTAGCCTAGACCAGGTCCAGAGGAAGGGGACAGTCACTTTTATTGTAAAAAATATAGCTCGGTGCTCTCATTCTTGCACTCCACATCAGCTTACTCTATGGGATAGTTTTGGGTCAGTTAGTGCTATCATGTGGAAAGTGTGCAGCCTTGTATAAGCTACAACTGCAATGACAGTAAACTGCACAGGGCTTTCCTTTTTTTTATTGTTGGGTAAGTGAAAGCATGGTAAGTGAATACTGCTGTGGTGAGGGGGTTGCACTTTGTTTAAATGCAGCTGTTGCTTTGTTCTGCATGGGTAAAAGCAAAGGTTCACATTGAGAAAACACCGTATGGAAGTTTAAAAATCAGTAGAACA